AACAGGAGGGTGGCTTGGATACAGCAAAGCCCACCTGGTGAGCGAGAGCTTGGGTCCGTCGCGCTCTCACCATGGTTCTTGACAACAGTGTCACTGATTGTGAGTGAATGTTCTCTTTTTGATCCCTCCAATTAAAATATACTGGAAGGAGGGCTGTCTCGTTGTCTACTTGACATGAAAAAGTTGCAGGAGCTGCTCAGTTGTTAACAAGACATATGCGTTGTGGATTGCGTACTGCCCGAGGTTGCAGCATGTTGGTTGTGTGCACACACTTGCGACCGCTGGAAACTGTCTTAGAACATCACATGCGCCTGGCCAGCTGCAAATGGTAGGCGATGGCCGTTGGTTGCATTGCCTGGCTGCGTCTGCTGCACTGCACACGGTGTTTGCGCGTATCATATGTCAACAACAGCAAGCCCTGCGCACCGTCTGCTGTACCGCACGCGATGTTCGGTGAAGGTTTGGTTGGCAACGTCAGCAAGGCGTATCCGTAGAAAAGCTGCTGCCCTCACCGACTGCACTTGTGTGCAAAGCTAAGCTACGCCTTCTGTGCACAAATGTGCACTCGTCGTCTCGTCTTTTTTTTGGGCATCTGCCTCTGACCTCACGTGCTTGGGGCATCCTATATGTGACCGAGCAGAAGGAGAGACGTCACTCAGTTGAGCCTTGAGGCGTACCCCTTGTACCCCTTGTAGCGAGGGGTCCTTCTGCGACATCAAGATGAAGTTACCCCTACTGCCCTAACTGGCTGTCCTAGTCATCAACGTCCTTATGGAGTCGCAAAGCAGCATGGCCGCGCAACAATGGGCACAGCGGAGTTCGCCAGGGGGGCAACGGCGGGGCGCAGAAAATTCTGGTGCAAGTCACTTTCGGACTCAAGAGGTGCGGCTGTCCACCCCTCAGGACAGCGCACACCCCAGCGTGCCCTGTGCGTGGACGCTCGGTGCTGGCGTCTCAGCCGGAGCCTGCGAGCTTGAACAGCTCCCTGAGCTCTTCTGGGCTAGGCCTGAGGGGCATGTTGGCATAGCACCGCTCCAGCAGTTCCTCCAGCCGCTCATACCTGCAGGTTAAGCAGGTGGTGGTTGAGACGCAGACCACACATGGGTTGGTGTTTTGTTAGTGGTGAAGTGTGTGTGTGTGTGTGTGTGTGTGTGTGTGAGTGTGTGTATGGGTGTGAGTGTGTGTGTGAGTGTGAGTGTGCGTATGTGCAGGGTTGCGTGCATGTGTGTGTGTGTGTGTGTGTGTGTGTGTGTGTGTGTGTGTGTGTGTGTGTGTGTGTGTGTGTGTGTGTGTGTGTG